CATACAACTCAGCAATTACACTCTTGGAAATTACCCTAGAGAAATGAAAACTTGTATTCACACAGAAACCTGTACACAAATGTTTATAGCTGCTTTATTTGTAACAGCTCCAAACCAGAAAGAACCGAAATGTTTTTCAATGAGTGAATGGTTAAACAAACTGTGGTCTATGCTGTCTATGCCTACTCAAAACCACACAAATGTTAGAGTTAAGCATAGGGTGCTTTAGGAGCGCAGAGGAGTGCCTAGCCCAGCCTGGGAGAAGGTGAAGAGGGCCAGTGAAGGCTTCCAGGAGGAAGTAGCACCTGAGCTTTGTCTTGAAAAGTAAGCAAGAGTTAGCTAAATCAAAAATGGGGGAAGAGCATTCTAGGTAGAGAGAACAGCATATGCAAAGGCATGGAATCTTAAGAGAGTGCTATACATTTGAAGGCCTGTAAATGGTAACTCGACATGGTGGGAGCCCAGTGGACACTAGCAAGAGATGAGGCTGCAGATGTCAGCAGAAAGGCCCTTGGGCCTCCAGGCTAAGGAGGCTCTCAGACAGCAGAGAGTCACCAGAAGGGTCTTAACTGGGGGAGTGAGTGTTAGATCTGCATTTCTGAGAGCTCTCTGTCAGATGCTGGGGAGGGTAGTTTGGAGGAGGGTGAGACTGGCGGCTGAGAGACCAACATGGAGGCTGTTCCTATGGTCCAGAGAATGTGCAAAGGCAGCGAGGAAGAAGGAAGGGGCAAGTACAAGAGACAACTGGTGAATCCTAGCAAAGTGTTCATTGTTCACTGTAAAATGATGAAAGGTGAGGGAGAAGAGCTGTTTAGAAGACATGGAGACCAGTTCCTGAGGGTGAGGACACAGAAGACCTCTTCTCCACTGTCCTCTCTCTGCCTTGGCTACAACGTTCTGCCCACTCTCTCCTACCCATGCCATGTTCCTTCTCCTTGCCTCTGTGCTTCTGGGCTTGGGAGGTCCAGCACAGTAGGCAGAGGTGATCACCTTTCAGATTATTCAGAACGAATACACTGATGCATAAACCAGAGGCAAACTTATTTGTCCCACAGTGGGGGCATAACTTGGCCCTGGTGCCTCCTGGACAGAGTATCCCCTTGTAAAGCCTCAGGTTCCTGGGAAGCTGATGTAGAGAACATGCACTCAGAGCAAAGGGAACTTGGTGTTCTTAGATTTCATCTGGAGGATGGCAAAGCCTGGGGCAGTGTCATCAAGCAGAGGGTACCAGCTTGGAAGTCAGATAGACCTGAGTTCAGAGCCCAACCCTGCCACACAAGCTGTGAAACCTTGAACACATTTCTTAACTTCTCTAAGCCTGTTTCTTCAGCTCTAAAATGGCAATGGTGATTCTCTGCAAATAAGACTGTTGTGAAAACTAAAAGAGATCAGGAAGGGGAAGCAGCTGGCTCATGCTACATCTGCCATTGTGTTGGTTGTTTTCCACTGTCTCAAATGAACACTGCCTCCGAAAAAAATCCACCTCACTAGATACCAGAATATTAATGTCCTCTAGAAACTGCAGCTCTTTTGCTTAGACAATCCTGGACAAACACAGATGGAATCTTCTTCTCTGAAGCCCCTTTTTTAAAAGTCAGTTGTTCAAAGCTTCATTATCTCATGCCAGACAGGAAGTTCTTCAGCCACTGGCAGTGTTCAGGAGCCACATCCATGCTATCAGCAATATATCTGCATCCATTTGCCATGATGGGTGGCTACTTTTGCAGGTAGCTGATCTCATCCACCATGTACTGATTTTTCCTGGTTTCAATTTCCAAAGGTGACCTTTTTCTACCCTCGTCCCCAGAGTCTGGGGCCCAGAGCTCCGCATGCATTGACCGCCTCTGAATGGGATCAACTAGATCTCTGTGTTTTGTTGCTTCAAGCTCCCCTTTCAGAATAAGCTCTGCTGGGATCTCAAATGGGAAAGAAACCGCAGCCCTTTGGCTGTGGAGCAGGTGGGGTTGGGACAGTGAGTCTGGGTCAAGGTTTGTGAACCTCTGTCCTGGGAAGAGGGCTGCCATTTCTCTTTCTGGTTTTCCTTGTTTAAGAAATTCGTGGAAGAATCAGTCTGAGGAGATAATTAATGGAAAATCCAAGTGGCAGCCATTCCTGGCTCTGACTCACTGTGCACACTCCTGCAGTTGTTACCATGGTTTCAAGGCTGAAGTTTTCTCCTCTCTGCTCTTCTGTTCATTCGTCACTCTGCTACAGAATCCTCCACAGTCGGCCTCCACAGACTGGTGGAGACTTAACCCTGTATAGAAGCTAGCTTTTTCGTTGTTTGTTTTACAAATAACATTTATTGCCTTTTTTTTCTTGAATAAAAAAAAATACATGCCAAGTGATATAAACAGAATATAAACAGAAAACAATGAAAGTTAGCCATAAACTCACATTCCAGAAATAACACTTAAGATTTTATCATATTCCCCTCCCATCTTTTAGTGATGCATGCTGCATAGTTGAGATCGTACATGATTTTGTATCTGACTGTCTTAAAGCACTTTTGACCTTGAAACCCCCAGCAGACCTATACTCATCCTTTTCTACTTTGAGCTATTGGCCTTCAGGCACTGCTTTGGGCAAATTCAGCCACGTACACAGGCTTGCTTATTATTGTTCTTGCTGTTATCTGCTGGAAGACACAGAGCTCACAATGTTCCAGGCACTAAGCATTTGCCAGGCACATCAACCATTTAATGCTGGCTCTTGATTGGGATCTGAACTCTGCTTCATTCCCACTCCGAGACTGCTATAGCCAGTGGTCGCAGGAAACGTTGTTCCCTGTGAAAAACCAGAAGTAAATGTGCCTCCTGGGCCTTCACAGTTCACTGGCTGTGGATGAGCCAATGAACATGAGGCCACACTGTCATTGTCAAACTCCAGCTAGACTTGGAAGGTCAGTACACTGGTGGGATCCACCTCAGAAATGGGAGAGCAATGATCCCCTCAGTGCTAGATGTGTTCCCTACAGTTGATCACTCTCAATCTGAAACAAGGAGTGCCCAAGATGTGCTGTGTCCAGAAGTCACAGTAGTACGAAATGAGGGGGCTGTTCATTATGTATGAGTTGGGGTGGGCACTATCTCAGAAATACCCGATCCCTTGGTCTGGGCATGAAGCATCCCAGGTCCAGCAAGGCTGTATCCAAAAACTAAACTCTGAGCTGGAGACCTATATATTCTGGCCGGCAGTGGCAAGCTGGGACAGCTATCTTGTGGAGTGGAGGAAAAGCCCTGAGGTTATATACAAATTGGGGGGAGAGGGGTTGTAAGGGGAGAAAGTGTAGGGGCACAAATTCAAAACTCATTTATCTTAAGCCTACACTCCATGAGCTAGTCATTGTTTTACGTGCTTTACAAATATGAACTTGTTTAAATCTCTTAACCTTAAAAGTAGGTACTATTATCATCAACTCCATTTTACCAATGATGAAACTGAGCCAGAGGGATGAGGTAACTTCCTCAAGGTCACAGAGCTAGTAGCCAGATGGTGGAGCAGGGATTTGAAGCCAGGCGGTCTGGCTCTAGAATCCATGCTTTTAACTACTATATTTTGCTGCACCATTATAGAAATTTTGAAAAATACACAAACATACACAACAATCTGTACTAGCACCACTGGTCACATTTTGCTGGATAGCCTTCCTGTCCTTTATAAGCATATATTATATACTTTTTAGAAAGGTATCATATTCTATAGCTTGTTCTCCAGCCTTCCTTAAGGCCATTTCCCCTGTCTGTACGACAGGTTAACACTCATTATTTTAAATGGCGCATATCCTTTTGTGTGCTTGAAACCTTATTTACTTAAGCAATATCCTACTGAGGGACATTTAGACTGCTTCCAATTTCTCTTGTGGGAGATCAAAATTGGCCACCCTAAAATATATCTCTTTACCTTGATTATTTTCTCTGACAGACATTTGACCTCCCACTAACTGCCTAAAGAATTTAACACAGAAGATCTATTCCAGGAAGGAGTTACTGTCATATGATGGCTGTAATATAATGCAAAATAGATGTTACAATAGGAAAGGCACCAACAAGCCCATCTTATCAAAAATTCTGTCTCTCTGAGGCCACATTCTCTAGGCAGCCCAGCAAAGAGTTGCCAGACAAACATTTACATTTATAAGGGAAATCTCCATTTGTAAAGGTAGCTCCCTCTCTGTGCTGGGGGGAAGGGGGGATGGCCTCTCTAGAAACCTATCAGTATGGAGGATAAGGCTTAAATCTGCATACCCTCCATTACTGTGATTTCTGTCTCTCTTCTGTCTCCCTCCCCACCACCAACATCCTCCTTTGTCTTTAGCTGAAGATTCTATTTAAGAGGAGAATCTCTGCCATTGTGTTGAGAAACTCAGTTTCCCTGGTTTCTCCCATGTATACACGTTATCAAACTCGGTATTATTTTCTCCTGCTAACCTATCTTTTAACTATTTGGCCAGCCAGAAGAACCTTAAGGGAAAGGGCAGAGGGGGATTCTCCCTCTTCCCCACACTCTCCATGACACAGTTCTGAATGAGGCAGAGGGATGATAGCCTTTTCAAAAAAGTACCCTTTGAACCCAATCAGCTACAGGCTGCAAAATAAAACTTAAAAATGAAAAACTACACGTGTGTGTAGGCAGGGGCAGGAGGACGGGGCAGTCACCTAGACTCTTCCTGCTTTTCTTTTGTTTCGCGGCCCCGCGGGATTGGCTAGAGCCGGTGTGGAGAGACTGCAAACCTCCGGCTTCCACTACACACGCGTGGAGGAGACGGGCGGAAGAGCCGATGAGCAAGGCAGCTGGGGCAAATAAGAGCATGCGAAAGAAGTAACAAAAAGCCCAGAGGCAGGGTTTATCACCCCTGCTCTACCTTTGGCTCCACCCCCCTACCTGGCCCAAGCTTCTTATTGGTCAGGCATCTTCAGCCCCATTGGTCCGAGAGCTAAAGGACTGGGTCTGCCCCAAGATATGCCTGCTTCCGGAGCTGCAGTAAGAACCGTCAATTGCGATGCTGCTTTCAGGCATTTGTTTAGGACATGCCCCTGGGGCCTGAAGGGGCTTTGTACGGCAACCGAAGCAGCTGCGAGTTCAACGGCAAGTTTCGAAGATGCCGCCCAAAGGAAAAAGTGGTTCTGGAAAAGTGGGGAAAGGTAGAGCGGTCAGAGCAACCGGGGAGAATGGGGTTGGGTGAGGAGCGAGGGGAGGAAGCAGACTGGCGACTCCCAGGGTCCCGGACGGAGGCAGGGGGTGGTCAGTGTCTAGAGGACTGGCCAGGAAATAAGTTGGGGATGATCAGTGTGGACTTCTCTGGAAAGCTGTAATTGAAAAAGCATAGAAATTAGGTGGTAGAAGAGAACAAAGGATTAAGAGGAAGTCGTATTTTGTTTGTTTCTTAAGAATGGGGAAAACTTGGGAGTGAGGCTGACGTGAAGGATCCAGTAGAGTTAGAGAAGTAAAGGTACACAGGAGTGAGATTTGGGAGAAAACGGGGTCCAGGACAGAGGTGGAGCAGTTGACCTTTGAATAGGAGAAGGGATACCTTACGCTTGAGGTCACAGTGCAAGAGACGAGGATGTGTGGTTGTGAAAATTGGGGCCAGAGAGAGGGGAAGGGGTGGAGCTTGTGGGAAATCGTGCTTAATGGCCTCAGTTTTTTTTAAAGCTTCAGCGCATAGTTGTGTATCCTAGTTGTTAGTTTACTTCTCTATGTGAGCTGCCGCTACAGTATGACAACTGACAGAGGAGTGGTGTGGTTCCACAACCGGGAAACGAACCCCGGGTTGCGGCCATGAGAGCGCCCAATCTTAACCACTAGACCTCCGGGGCTGGCTCCAATTTCTTAATAAAATGGAAGGCAAGGGTAATTTTTAAGATTGAGGGGGCAGGAGGCTGGCCCCGTGGCTTAGCCGTTAAGTGCGCGCGCTCCACTACTGGCGGCCCGGGTTCGGATCCTGGGCGCGCACCGACGCATGGCTTCTCCGGCCATGGTGAGGCCGCGTCCCACATACAGCAACTAGAAGGATGTGCAACTATGACATACAACTATCTAGTGGGGCTTTGGGGAAAAAAAAAA